AGAATGATATTCTACCTTTTGACGAGACTATCTTAAATGATGGAACAGTCAATAAAATTAAAAGAATTAGACCCATATTAAAAGCAGTGGCAGTTCCATCTAGTGTTTTTTTTTTAAATTTTGATTATACGAAATGTAAACAAAGTGCTATTATAAATTATGTGATAACGTAAATTCCGACTCTGGATTTACGGTTCAAATAATTGGGTATATARTATCATAGAACAGTATAATATAGTATTTTATAAAGCATTTGATTGTGACTATTGTTATATTACTCCCGGTTCTTAGTGRCGAATCCTTAACCCACATGCTCACGTGTTTCTAAACAAACACACGTAATATGGTCGTAGTTGCCGATGGATTTATTAAAAAAAAGAACGTGTATTATGTAATAATAAAAATAATAYGAATCAAATTGTACATTGGTTAAGTCTATATAAGATATTATAGTTCATGATATAACTTTTCAATAATGATTATTAACAATAAGTATGTAATTTGAGATATTTTARATGATTAAATTTTCTTTTGGCCACTTGAACTTTATCATTTAAAAAAATACAGACACAACGATGTAAAGATTACCTATCACACAACAATATGTTATGTAATATTCAAAACCGTAATAATTCAGATTTTGGTGTCGAGAGWMGTTTTTTTAGTTACCACATAAAAATTTAAAATAAATTATCATGATGCCACATGAAGTTTATTGGGCCAGAAAAGCGCAATAACTATAATTTATAGAACATTATTTAGATTTTACCCCATTTATATAATCATATTATAAAAGTTGTTTTGCTTTAATGGAGATGTCTCACTTGTAMATGTATTCAGTTATTCATACAAGTGCAAGACATAAATAAYTTATGTTCAGCAGCTACCAATAGGATCATAATTATTTAATATGTAATATGTATTTCTCTTCAACAGGACTTTTCAAAACGACAACAAGTCGAAGACAAAACAAACAGATAAATCTTTAATACTTATTAGTTATTACTTCTACAATTTACGTCCAATCATATTTCCGAGTTTAAATCTTATTTTTTAATTAGACCATTGGTATGTACTATGCGGATGCGCCTATATTCATTACAGTTCCTCTCAAGTATACGCGGTAAATGCATTGTGCACTCATTACGACCAGACTTAATTAATTTATTATTTTATATACTCTAAATTGAAATTCAATGATAAATAATTGTTTTAGAAAAACGATTCTTAGAGGATATTTGTTGAATTCAAACTGTAGACTCTATTTCTGAGAATAATAAATAATTTATTTTTTAATAGAAATGTGATAGGTTGAACTACCTAGTTTAATAAAATTATGRATTTGGTCTTATACATTGATTTATAATACATTACACATGCTTTTTACGTTCATAAAATGATAATTCATTAATAGGTAGTATAATATAACACTAAAATAAAATACTCATATTATAATATAATATAGAGTATAGGCATTCWTATGAATTTGTTTGATACGATATTGTGAGTCGYGACTACATAGTAATTAACTACAATACATAAAAATCATGTATATAATACATTATGAAGAAACAGATTATTAGCTATAATGTGTAGGACCTTACTATTAAAAGTACCAGCTATATACCTAATACAAGAAAATAATAAAATAACTACCTATATGGAATGGCATGGACTTTAACGGTCATTTTCCTAATTTTGGTCAAATACGTGATCATAGTCCATGCCATATGCCCATATTATAATTAATCATTTATATACGATATACAATTAGAGTTCAGTCTTTAAAATTATATCACATTTATCAATACTTACTGCTGTGTATWAACAAACCAACATAACATTGTAGGTATAATATTATACCTTTTGCCTTTATATTCGTTACACAATAAATGGGTAAAAAAATGTGACTTCCACGAACACTGCAGCTTAGATATATATATTAAAAATTAGGTCCAACCTACTTTTTCAAATTTTTTATATGCTTTTATTTAATTTTTGAAACTGATAGTGGTTGTACGCTCATCTACTTGAACTCTTTAAAAAAACATCATAGAACGTTAGATTGCGTATTTTTGGGTGGAAAAGTTATTGAAAGTACTCAACACTGATTTGTTAAAATAAACTTCAGTGCGAGGTGCGACTTAACTATCAAACATCAGACATGGGTACGAAAAACACAGCAACTTCTGAGACAACCTACTACTAAGTTGAAGAATACTTTATAATGTTATAATTAGTGATGGGAATTATTCGAATATTCGAACATTCGAATGTCAGTATTCGATGCCACAACAATACAATACTAATGAAAATTATTCGTTAAGTTTTCGTGCATCACAAAACGTTTAATAATAATATTATATTATAAATTATAATATTATAAAATACTGGAATATCATAATTAAATTATTATTAATAATAATGTATAAGTTACAACAAAAAAATAATAAATAAATAAATGGTAACTATGAACAGTACGAACAAGGTACCTGCAAGATAAGAACTATTTTCGTATTTAGGCCGATTAATCATTGACATACATTATCCACAGTTGTGTAGATATGAATTAGTTATTAATAATAAATAGTATAAAAAGTTTGCCATGGAAAAACGGATAAAACAAATTAGGTATTGTAGCATCGAATACTGATATTCGAATGTTCGAATATTCAAATGTTCGAATATACATTACATTACTAGTTATAATTTTTAAGTTACTCGTATATATATTGATGCAAACTAGACATTTGATTAAGGGGGTGCTTAATCTCCAGGTTTTTTTTGTAACTTAATGGGACCTAACATTTTAAGCAATTTCTTAGGGTGATAATTTTGACTTAAGTTGTGCTMAGGACCCAAAGCACCCCCCTAATCGCATCAATGGCTTATTATTATATATACATTTATGATACTTTTATTCGAATATTGAACACGATAAAATAATTGTTTTTATCTTTTCAACCAAAAATTACATAACGTATATTACGTATATTCAAATTTTAAATACACACATATATGAATATATCACGTATAATATAAATATTGTTGTGACGCGGCGTGACGAAGCTTCTGTAGCAATCATTCATGCAACTGGATTGAGTGTACGTATCACCCACTGCCACTAGTCCTCCGATGGGTGACCACTCGGATTCTTAGTGGCGTAAACCTCGCCTGCACACGTACACGTGTTCTAAACCAACCATAACCTACTTCACAGTTAAAAATGCTACTAAAAATAACCACCCAATGGCCTATGTTGCAGCGGGTTGATTAATAAAATAATAAATATATACACATTTGTCTTTATTTAGATTAAAATTGTATTTTTCTCCTAGCTAGATATTTTTAACAAAATTATTTTTATCTTTTTTCGATACATTTTTTGTTAGTTGAAATACATTTAGAGACGACTCTGAAATTATTTTACTTGAGTTGAATGTAGTGTTACACAGCACCAAAATGAGACAAAAAACTCATTGTTCTTCAAAAGTATTTATTTATTTTATAAATTCAATTTGTGTTTACGATAGGTTTTTCGCTCGTCATTGCATTTAATATTTTAAAATATCCAATATGCCTGATGTTTTAATGTCAGCATAAATGGATTAAAGATGCTCTGTTAAATAAAAAATAAAAAATTATCCTGCTACTGAGGATCTGCATGCTTTCCCATAAATTATAATATTCAATTTAAATCAATATTTATTAATTAATTAAAAGCATAATTTACAAATTATATTCTATTTGTATCTCTAAAATATATTTTCAATTTTGTATTTAACGCATTTATATTTAATATATAAGTATACAAACACATTTAGATTAGTTTTAATAATATGTATTAATTACATGACATTAGTTGTATGCGAACAATTACTGCAATTAAGATTATTTTATAGCGGGTCATTGAAATATAGTATGATAATAACCAAGAGAACGCAATTCATTCTGTCTTTAGTATGTAAACTGTAGCGATTAGTGCAACTATATTTTACAATATTTAGAAAGAAACTCGCGTTTAAAAATGACATCCTCAAATACAGACGGAAAAGAAAAGGAAAAGTCTGCAGTCGCTTATGATTTAAATTCTTCCAAGCCAAATCTTAAAGGAGATTGGTTGAATTTTTTCCTACTGCTATTATTGTACACAATGCAAGGTTTTCCTTTGGGTCTAACTTCAGCTATACCGATAATTTTGCAAAGCCAGAATGATATATCCTATCAAGATCAGGTAAATTGATACAATAAGATCCAAACCGTTTAAG